ATAAGATTGTAACGCCAACGTCCACCCTTACTTTCTTGTCTCTTTGTAGATTTGTAAGCTTTCAGGTCACTATAAGAGTGTAACGCCAACGTCCACCCTTAATTTCTTGTAGCTTTGTTTTCAAGGTTTTGTAAACTTTCATGACACTATAAAATTGCAGCGCCAACGTCCACCCTTACGTTCTTGTATCATTGTATTGTAGATTTCGTAAATTTTCAGGACACTATACGACTGCAACGCCAACGTCCACCCTAAGTTTATTTTTTGTATTGTACACTTTGTAATCTTTCAGAACACTATAAGAATGTAACGCCAACGTCCACCCATATTGTGTTGTATCTTTGCATTGTAGGATCTTTCAGGAGACTATAAGATTGTAACGCCAACGTGAACCCTTAATTTCTTGTATCTGTTTATCGTAGGTGTTGCAAACTTTCAGGACACTATAAGATTGTAACGCCAACGTCCACCCTTAGTTTCTTGCATCTTTGTGTTGTAGATTCTGTAAACTTTCAGGACACTACAAGAATGTAACGCCAACGTTCACCCCTAATTTCTTGTATCTTGTAAACATTCAGGACACTGTAACATTGTAGTGGCAACGTCCACCCTTAATTTCTGTATCTTTGTGTTGTAGCTCTGGTAAGCTTTCAAAACACTATAAGATTGTAACGCCAACGTCCACCCTTAATTTCTTGTATCTTTGTATGGTAGATGTTGTAAAAAATCAGGACACTATACTACGATTGTAACGCCAACGTCCACCCTTAATTTATTTTATCTGTGTGTTGTAGATTTTGTAAACTTTCAGGACACTATAAGATTGCAACGCCAACGTCCACCCTTAATTTTTTGTATCTTTTTATTGTAGACGTTGTAAACTTTCAGGACACTACCCTGAGCCCATGCATGGACTCCTGAACCTTACACTACAGGATTGTAACGCCAGTGTCCACCCTTAATTTTTTGTATCTTTGTGTTGTAGATTTTGTAAACATTCAGGACATCGTAAGATTGTAACGCCAACGTCCAGCCTTAATTTCTTGTATCTTTGTATTGTAGAGTTTGTAATCTTTCAGGACACTACAAGATTGTAATGCCAACGTCCACCCTTAATTTCTTGTATCTTTGTGTTTTGAAATCCATAAATTTCAGGACACTATAAGATAGTATCGCCAACGTCCACCCTTCATTTCTCGTATCTTTGTATTGTAGACTTTGTAAATTTTCAGGACACACTAAGATTTTAGCACCAACGTCCACCCGTAATTTCTGTATCTTTGTGTTGCAGTTTTTGTAAACTTTCAGGACACTATAAGATTGTAACGCCAACGTGCACCCTCAATTTCCTGTACCCTTGTATTGTAGACTCCGTAATCTTTCAGGACACTATAAGATTGTATCGCCAACGTCCACCCTTAATTCATTGTATCTTTGTGTTGTAGATTTTATAAACTTTCAGGACACTATAAGAGTTTAACGCCAACGTGAACTCTTCATTTCTTGTATTTTTGTATGGTAGACTTTGTAAACTTTCTGGACACTATAAGATTGTATCGCCAAGGTCCACCGTCAATATCTTGTGTCTTTGTGTTGTAGTTTTGCGAGCTTTCAGGACACTATAAGATTGTAACGCCAACGTCCACCCTTAATTTCTTGTATTTTTGCTGTAGGTTTTGTAATTATTCAGGACACTTAAGATTGTAACACCAACGTCCACCCTTGATTTCTTGTATCTTTGTGTTGTACATTTTCTAAACTTTCCGAACACTATAAGATTGTAACACCAACGTCCACCCTTAATTTATTGTATCTTTGTATTGTAGATGTTGTAAACTTTCAGGACACTATACGATTGTAACGCCAAGGTCCACCCTTAATTTCTTGTATCTGTGTGTTGTAGATTTTGTAAACATTCATCACACTATAAGATTGTAACGCCAACGTCCACCCTCAATTTCTGTATCTTTGTGTTGTAGTTTTGGTAAGCTTTCAGCACAAGCTTTCAGCACACTATAAGATTGTAACGCCAACGTCCACCCTTAACTTCTTGTATCCTTGTATTGTAGACGTTGTAAACTTTCAGGACACTACAAGATTGCAACGCCAGTGTTCACCCTTAATTTCTTGTATCTCTGTATTGCAGAATTTGTAAACTTTCAGGACACTGTAAGATTGTAACGCCAACGTCCAGCCTTAATTTCTTGTATCTTTGTATTGTAGAGTTTGTAATCTTTCAGGACACCTATAAGATTGTAACGCCAACGTCCACCCTTAATTTCTTGTATCTTTCTGTTATAAAATCTGTAAACATTCAGGACACTATAAGATTGTAGCGCCAACATCCACCCTAATTTTCTCGTATCTTTGTATTGTAGATTTTGTCAACTTTCTGGACACTATAAGATTGTAACGCCAACGTCAACCCATAATTTCTTGTATCTTTGTATTGTAGAGTTTGTAATCTTTCAGGACACAATAAGATTTTAGCGCCAACGTCCACCCTTAATGCCTCGTATCTTTGTATTGTAGACTTTGTAAAATTTTAGGACACTACAAGATTGTAACGCCAATGTCCACCCTTAATTTCTGGTATCTCTGTATTAATTAATTTGTAAACTTTCAGGACACTATAAGATTGTAACGCCAACGTCCACCCTTAGTTTCTTGTATCTTTGCCCTGTAGATTTTGTAAGTTTTCAGGACACTATAAGATTGTAACGCAACGTCCACCCTTAGTTTCTTGTATCTTTGTGTTGTAAATTCTGTACACTTCCAAGACACTATAAGATTGTAACGCCAACGTCCACCCTATTTTTTGTTTCTTTGTCTTGTAGTTTTTGCAAACTTTCAGGACACTAAAAGATTGTAACGCCAACGTCCACCCTTAATTTCTTGTATCTTTGCGTTGTAGTTTTTGTATAACTTTCAGGACACTATAGGATTGTAACGCCAACGTCCAGCCTCAATTTCTTGTATCTTTGTTTTGTAGACTTTGTAAACTTTCAGGACACTATAACATTGTAATGCCAACGTCCACCCTTAATTTCTTGTATCTTTGTGTTGTAGATCCTGTAAACTTTCAGGACACTATAAGATTGTAACGCCAACGTCCACGCTTAATTTCTTGTATCTTTGTATTGTAGGTTTTGTAAATATTCAGGACACTTTAAGATTGTAACACCAACGTCTACCCTTAATTTCTTGTATCTTTGTGTTGTACAGTTTCTAAACTTTCCGGACACTATAAGATTGTAACGCCAACCTCCACTCTTAATTTCTTGTACCTTTGTGTTGCAGACTTTGTAAACTTTCAGGACTCTGTAAGACGGTAACGCCGACGTCCACCCGTAGTTTCTTGTATCTCCGCATTGTAGACTTTGCAAGCTTTCAGGACACTATAAGATTGTAACTCCAACGTCCGCCCTCAATTTCTTGTATCTTTGTATTGTTGACTTTGTAAACTTTCAGGACACTGTAAGAACGGAACGCCGACGTCCACCCTCAATTTCTTGTATCCTTGTGTTGTAGATCCTGTAAACTTTCCGGACACTATAAGATTGTAACGCCAACCTCCACTCTTAATTTCTTGTATCTTTGTGTTGCAGACTTTGTCAACTTTCAGGACGCTATATGACTGTAACGCCAACCTCCACCCTTAATTTCTTGTACCTTTGTGTTGCAGACTTTGTAAACTTTCAGGACTCTGTAAGACGGTAACGCCGACGTCCACCCGTAGTTTCTTGTATCTCCGCATTGTAGACTTTGCAAGCTTTCAGGACACTATAAGATTGTAACTCCAACGTCCGCCCTCAATTTCTTGTATCTTTGTATTGTTGACTTTGTAAACTTTCAGGACACTGTAAGAACGGAACGCCGACGTCCACCCTCAATTTCTTGTATCCTTGTGTTGTAGATTTTGTAAACTTTCAGGACACTACAAGGTTGTAACGCCAACGTCCACCCTGAATTTCTTGTATCTTTGTGTTGTAGTTTTTGTAAACTTTCAGGACACTATGAGATTGTAACGTCAAAGTACACCCTTAAATTTCTTGCATCTTTGTATTGTAGACTTCGTAAACTTCAGGACACTATAAGATTTTAACGCAACGTCCACCCTTAGTTTCTTGTATCTTTGTCTTGTAGACTTTGCAAATTTTCAGGACACACTAAGATTTTAGCGCCAACGTCCACCCTTAATGCCTCGTATCTTTGTATTGTAGACTTTGTAAACTTTCAGGACACTGTAAGATTGTAACGCCAACGTCCACACTTAATTCATTGTACTTTTGTGTTGTAGGTTTTGTAAACTTTCAGGACACTATAAGTTTGTAACGCCAACGTCCACCCGTAATTTCTTGTAGCATTGTGTTGTAAATTCTGTAAACTTTCAGGACACTGTACGGTTGTAAAGCCAACGTCCACCCTTAATTTCTGTATCTTTGTGTTGCAGTTTTTGTAAACTTTCAGGACACTATAAGATTGTAACGCCAACGTGCACCCTCAATTTCCTGTATCCTTGTATTGTAGACTCCGTAATCTTTCAGGACACTATAAGATTGTAACGCCAAAGTCCACCCTTAATGCCTCGTATCTTTGTGTTGTAGGTTTTATAAACTTTCAGGACACTATAAGAGTGTAACGCCAACGTGAACTCTTCATTTCTTGTATTTTTGTATGGTAGACTTTGTAAACTTTCAGGACGCTATAAGTTTGTAACGCCAACGTCCACCCTCAATTTCTTGTATCTTTCTATCGTAGACCTTGTAAAATTCCAGGATGCTATAAGATTGTAACGCCAACGTCACCACCCTTGATTTTTTGTATCTGTGTTGTAAATTCTGTAAGATTCCAGGACACTGTAAGATTGTAACGCCATCGTCCACCCTTAATTTCTTGTATTTTTGTAATGTAGGCTTTGTAAACTTTCAGGACACTATAAGATTCTAACTCGAGCACTCTGCAAACCCGTGCCATCGCATGTGACAACCAATGAACAGGAGCAAATTGGCGCAGTTCTTCAACTGGCGGGTGCCTCCCTGAGGCTTTTGCAGCGTGCCGCATGGAAGAGCGACCCACTCTTCTGGCAATGTTTGTGTCTGAGGTCATGAGCGTCACCTTTACTGGTGTTAGTCCATGTCCTCAGACAGAAATCGCAGACAGGCCCGAGCTTGTTTGTGTTCCATGCTTAGCTGCGATGGTTCTTTGCGACAAAGATTTCTTGACGGAATAGTTGTGGGACTGCATCGTCACAGGAGGCACGTGATCTGTGGCAGGAACATGAGCGCAAGCCCGAGGGGAAAGAGCTCAACAGGCTGGCGACACGACAACCTGAACAGAGTGTACTCCCTTTCGCAGCAGCTTGATCGGACAGGATGCTGGATTCATAGAGCTCCGTGTCACTGGCGTTTCCCACATCCGGCCAGAGGACAACACGGGCACGGGCTGTGTTGAATTGTTGCGATCGCCCGTGTACCATGAACCCATCTCAGCCCCATGTTGTATTCAATTTTGCAAGCGGCTGCCTGTCTGTTGAGGTTGTCGAGGTTTTGCATGATGATAGAGTTTGCAGGCACCTGTAAGCGTTTCGACAAAGTGTACTACAATCAATGGAAGGTCTTATGCTCCACGGCTTTCCTATCCTCCTCCCCCTCAAGAAAGAATCATCATACTGCAGATGCTCGTCGCCCACCAGTACATAGTAAGGTACATTCCCGGCCACGGCTACAGCAGCTCCTCTTTCTAATCCTACAGCAGCCCTAAACGCAAAACCGTTCAGCTCTAAGCTCTGATCCCCGATACCTTCGACTTACTACTATTTGCTTAAGAAACCCCCCCAAAAAATAAAAATAAGAATCCCTATATTACCCCCATAAGGAATATTTTTTTTATTTTTTGGGGGTTCTTAAGCAAATAGTAGCTTATCGAGGAGTGATGAGTTCTGTTGAAGGTGCAATCACTGCTTGCAGTGTGTTCCCTGCGGGCCGACTTGGGCAACTGAGCGGGTGGAGGGGGGGGGGGGAACAAGTCATGAGAAAAGCCGAAACCCCGAAGCTCAAAAGATGAATCCGAAACCCTTAAGCCCATCGTAATGTTTGGGCTGGTGTGGCTGTCGGGGCAGTTCTGTTGTTGCTGTTGTTTTGCTGCAGCTGCGAACTGGCGTTCATGCACACCACGTGTTTGCTGTGCTTGCATGGGGCTTATCTTCGTTGCCTGGAGTACCTGAATGCCACCTGTGGGCATGGAGGATGAAGTACAGGAAGACACCATGGACTATGTAAGTGCAGGCCGAGAGTCGTCAATGCGCAGAGTGATCGGTTTGGGATCCGGTTTGGCAGGCTCACGCCGCCCATGCAAGCGATGCCTGGCAGCAGATGCCTCCGGAACAAAGCAAGCCGTAGACTCAGCCACGGACGATGGACGAGCCGCACGGGCGAGTATGTCAGCTTGTCCATGCATGTGATCACTGCTCTCCTAAGGTCCTAAGGTAGCTAAGTGAAGTGACTGCCTAGGCGGCCTTGACACGCCGAAGACGTGCTTGACACGAGCTTGCGCTTTGCCAGGTCATTCCTCGCACTAAAGCCAACTCCCTCGTAGTCGCAGACATCATCAGCATCACCACCTTCGCCACTTTCATCATCACCGCCATCATCACGACTATGTTCCCCATCGCCAACACTGCGACCACTGCATCGTCGTGAGCACGATCATTATCGTCAATCTTGGTCCGTGCTTGACGATACACCCCATCTACTTGGAACACCCGGATTTTGTGACAAGCACCCGAACAAGCAGTGCAGACGTCCAGGACCATGCACTGCAGAGGTGCACTTCGTTGGCTACGACGTGCAGTACGACGAACGGCTGGGGGTGGACCGTCTGCGTTCTCACGCCATTGTGCCCATCAAAGAGCAGGACGGGTGCGAAGGTCAGAGAGACCATTGCAAACTTGGCCCGGCTGTGCTTATCCCTCCGTCCCTTCGTTGTAGATTCCATCATGTCTCTTTCTGCAAGGAGGTCTCCAAGGCAGGGCGGGAGTGTGCGGCAAAGCTCTGTTTGACGAGAGGGAAATGTCTGTGGTGAAGAACAGTTTGTAACTCTCTGTCCGACCACGGCGGCGACTTTGGGAAGAGTATAACTGTTTGTGTTTGGCTGCCGTAGCGATAATGCAGTATAATGTTCTTATGTTGGAAGATTTGGTCAGCGAAGTACGTGCACGCACAGGCTCCGACGCATGGCTCCCGCTGTTGTGCGGTGTCCGTGTCCTACTATATGTACAGGGTCCGGCCATGTCCTGTGGTCTGTTGGGCTCTCGTTCATGTCCTCGTTGGTCGGTCTCCTTGTGCTCTCTTGGTGGTCGTCGTGGCGGTCGGGGTGGTCCTCGCGGTCGTGGTCGTCTAGGTCTAGGCTTTTCCTTATTTGGGGATTTATGCTGGCAGAATCGGTTCAAGTCGTGTCACGCAGAGACCTGCGGTTTTTCAGCGCTATTGAGCATGCATCCTTTACTTGCTACATATTGAACCCACATCCTTTTGTGGTCTTAGGCTGTCGCGAGTGTGCGAAGCCCTCCACTGTGAAGTCAACATCCACAAGATCAAGCGAGACCAGCCCAAAACTGCGAGGTGGCTTGGTGGTCCGATCGACCAGGATTGAGGGTTGTCACGACAGCAGTTTCACATTGCTTCCAGCAACCGAAATGGGTGTGCAAACATGCCGATTTATGTGTCGCCGACTAGGTTCCAGTGGCAGATAGCAGATACCGTCAATTACGCCAGTTGGTATCCATGGAGCACGTCAGCAGTTGCGGGAAGCAGTTGCCTTCTAAGCTGATCGGCTCAAGTCTACCGCCCTACCACTTGGCAACAGCGGATCGCCACTTCTTCAAGGCTCGGCCCTATGAAGACCCCCTATACCCCAGGCATAAGCAGTCGGCTTTCGGGGGTGAGCGTGAGATAAAAGGGCTCCTGAAGTAAATCAGGGGCGATGGCCTTGCTATGGGGACCCCTTTTAATTTTCGGAGAAAAGATGCAAAGCCCTTCGGCTAAGGCTATCCAGATGGACCTCACAGCCGTCAAGCACCTTGGCCGACTTAGCTTCGTGGGCAGGTAGCGACTTGACATTCGTTCTCATGACGCTTTTGCTTGGTGCAAGGAAAGGCCTGCGCCTCCATGCAGAGGCCCCTCGGCTTCATTTCGGAGCATCGGCGCGCACCTGAGATCTTCCGTCCGTCGACAGCCATTCAACTCCCAAGGCCGAAGGAAAGTACTGGGCAGCGGAAGTGGCTTGGCACGACATCCTTGACTACTGCCATACTTCTTTCGGGACTTCGATGTCGCCTTTTTGAGGTTCTGGCCGTGAACCCGAAGAAGGGCAGACCGGTCAAGGCGCAGCTCCACTGTTCGATAGACCATGCCTTCTCTCGCATCACGGTCATGATCCTCGTAGTCGTAGGCATCATCAGCAGTACCACCCTCGACACCTTCACCATCACCGCCATCATCACAAATATCCTCCCCATAGCCAACACCGCGACCACCGCATCGTCGTGAACATGCGATACCGGAAGTCGTAATACATATTGTGACAAGTACCCAAACAATCACCCGACGGAACTTATGCCCTCCGGAGGTGCACTTCCTCGGCTACCACACCCAGTACGACGAGTGGCTGCGTGCCGAGCGTCTCCGCTCCAAGGCCATTGTGCCACTCAAGGAGAAGGACAGGCTGAAAGTCGAAGAGACCATTGTCCAACTTCGCCCCGTTGTGCTTGTCCTTTGCTATTTCAATCATGTCACCGGCTGCGGCACCACACTTTAATCCGCTGTGGCTCGAGTCTTTTTGGCAGGAGGTCCCGAAGGCAAGGTGGGGGTGCGCGGCAAAGCAAGAGCCACAGATTGAGGATCTGCTTCTCCAGGCTCCGTTCGGTTCCACCATGCCGCCCTTTGCGAAGCAGCTCCTCCTGGCTAAGTACCTGGAGTCCGCCAAGGACGGCTTGCTGGGTGCGTCTCTTCGAACGTGTCAAGTCAACATGTCCTCTCTTCGAGTCTGCTGCAGGAGTGCACCGACAAGCTCCACTGGGCCCTACTTCACGAAAGCGGCTGCACACGCTACTCGCTGCCTGTTTTCCCGGAAGACAGGCCCCGCTCAGTTTGATTACCGTACCATGCATTGTGGTCCAGCGCAGGGAGTCCGACACCTCCGCATACCTGGCGGGCATCCTCATCCAGGACTGAGCTTCGCAGCTGAGCCTCAGCCACCCGGGCCGCGCACCTCAGTTCGTGCAGAGGAGATGATGTGGCAGCGACGCGACCCCACCTCAGCAAATCCAGTAGCCGTCAATGGCAGAAACCTTCGAGGATTTGGATTTCAGTTTCGAGCTGAATTTCTGCGAGATCAGCCTAGCTTTCCCTAAGGCCTCCTCGAGCCTGATTCTTTGTGGGCCCCCCAAGATCTGTGCCTTGGCTTCGATTTGACTGTGACCACGTATACCTAGAGCACTCCGTATGCGCGAGGGCCAACACGAAACGGTGACAGGCGCGTTCCTGCAGAAGTGCTACTCGCCTGGAGGCTGCTGACAGGGCTCAGGGAATGGCCACAGATGGGGGCAAATTGGGCAGTCGTAATCCTTGCTAGCAGGAGCTTACGACTTCGACGTGAAGTCCATGGCCAAAGCCGCTCGGCTGCTGATCACCTTGAGAAGTTCTCGCAGCTTCCGGTGAGAGCGTGCCCAAACGCAGGTCAGCGGCGCACGCTGCAAGCCTTTCGAGGCTGGACGTGTGTGTGCATAAGCTCAACTGCTGATGCTGGTGTTCTGTGCATCAGGTAAAATTCGTGAAAGAAGAGTCCGAGTTGCCTGCTGCTTTCGGCACACCCGAGGCGCCCCTGGCAAAGCCCTCGTGGGGGACAAAGGTTTATTGCCGGATTCGGCTCTGCTGGCAGGTCTCCAACAGGGATGCTGCTTCCTTGCATTTGGAGCCTGGCTCGGGGCTCGGCGAAAAAAGCCACCCCCGGTTCTTTGTACCATCGAGAGCAGCCTCGGGTCTGCACATGTCTACACAGGTTGCATCGAGACGGTGGTTATGAAGGAGTCCTCGAAGTCGGAGCAAGTCCATGCCTCAGCCGTCTCATTGAGCGGGACCTTCAGCTACCATACTCCGGGTTTGGGCCTCTGAGATCCTGGGCTTGGCGGCGCTGGCCCTCAAGAAAGTAGCCTCAAGGTATTGGTTGAACGTAGTTGTACCAAGGTTTTCTTTAGGGATTACTTGCCGTAGGGCTTAGACTTATACGGCATGTCAAGGAGTCAACCTGGCTTTGCGACGGCCGGGTTGAAGAAACAGGACAGGAAGACACTGGCCTGTAGGGTGCCAAGCCCTTCGAAGCAACAGTTTGCGAGTCAAGATGGGTCTCTTCTCAAAGTAATGCATCCATCTTGGGAGTGTAGTTTCGGGTCCTTGAGCTTAGGGCCACGGACTCGCGGCTTTAGGGTGGAGCAGGTTAAAAGTTGTTTTCCGGGTCACCGGCAGGGGCGAATCTCAGGGGAAAAGGTAGGTCGTATCTCCGTCATGCACTGTTGCAAACTGCCAGGCCATGTCTGCATGCGTGCTCATACGTGCAGAAGCGACGGAGACTGCCCCAACCAGATCCTGTAGCTTCCATGGCCATGAGGCGAATCGCCCGTTGTAGGATGCAGTAGCGAGCGACCGATAACAGGACACACACGCACACACACACACACACACACACACACACACCGCACGCGTGCATGCGCACCCACACACACACACACACACGCCCAGCCAGGCAGGCATGCATGTGCACTTGTGCGCTCGCGTTTGGCTCCCGACCTGTCGACCTCGACGAGCCACTCAGGCTGCGACCACCCCTTTGGCGGCTGTGACAAAGTTGGAAGCCTGGCGGGCAGCCGTTCAAAGCCTAGCTCTAGCAAGATGTAGAACAGCCAAGATGCATCTACTCAGGTTTTCACAGTTGCCCTCCGTCGCGACATGGATGGTGCGCAATCTGAGCACGCCGTGCGGGAAGGCTCGCCACATACTTGCATGTCATACTTTCTGCATGGATTGAATGCCTCTTGTGCCCCTTCAGACGGTTGCAACAGCATTGCCTGCTCTGGCCTGAGACTGAGGTCGTATAGCTGCAGATCCTCCCACTCCTACTCCTACCACAACAACAACCAACAACAGCCAACACCCTCAACAGCAACAACGACAACATCAGCGACAAATACAACAACAGCAACAGCAACAACAGCTACTACTTCTACTACTACTGCTACTACTACTACTACTGCTACTACTACTACTGCTACTACTGCTGCTACTGCTACTAGGACATATGCCGGCAGGAGGACTGGCACTTTCATGCGTTTCCGATTGAACGCAATCCTCAGATTTGAGCACCTTTGACGGGGTTCTCGGCTGCCACAGAAAGTGGAATACGCAAACCATGGTGGACAAAAAAGTGATTTAGGCAGCTGCCGGTGTCAAAAATCACCAATTCTTTGCCGAGGGCGTCGTTTTATGAATTTTTTCACAAAAGAAAGCACTACTTGCAGTATGTTCTACAAAGAAGCAAGCATGCTGTAAATGCCAGTGTTTTGGGCATGGTCGCCAAAAGCATTGATGCTTGACAACGTGTCTTGCTCCACATCCTTGTGAAGTATGTTGTGCACAGAAGCAAACATGCTGTAAATGCCAGTGTTTGGGGCATGGTCGCCAAAGGCATGGATGCTTGTGACAACGTGCCTTGCTCAACATCCTTGCGCAGTATGTTGTACACCTGTAAATACCAGTGTTTGGGGCATGGTCGCCAAAGGCATGGATGCTTGTCACAACGTGTCTGGCTCCACATTTTGGGCATGGTCGCCAAAGGCAGTGTCCTGAAGGTTGTTATCACCCCCCCCCTCCTATCCTGCATACTGGTTCCGAAACGCATGAAAACACCAGTCCCCCTTCGGGCGTGTGTGCTACTACTACTACTACTACTACTACTACTACTACTACTACTACTTCTACTTCTACTTCTACTTCTACTTCTACTACTACTACTACTACTACTACTACTACTACTACTACTACTACTACTACTACTACTACTACTAGGCTTGCGCGCCTCCTGGCGCCTGGTAGTTTGGAGGTGTTCGAGGTTCAAAAGTATCAGCTTTTACAGGGTTTTGTGAAAATCGCAGTTTGGGTACGTTGTCAAAAACTACTTTGTTTGATTAATAATTACAGTTTTGGATGACGATGATGATGCTAGTGATGCTACTGATGATGATGATGTTGATGAAGATGCTGAGAAAGCCAACGATGTGCATGCTATTGGAAGCCAATATCAGGACTGAGGACTACGGCCACTAGTGCTACTACCTACTACTACTAGGCCTGCTACACTGCTGCAGAACGACGAGTGCCTTCAGCCCAGTCGAACAAAAGGCCCCATAAAACGCTCCAAAGTACCGGCACTGCCAGTGTTTTTGGCAACAGGAAAACCCATTGCGCTACTGTTAGTGCCACTGGTACTGGTACTGCTACTGCGACTGCTAGTGCCGCTGCTGCACTATTAGTGTACTGTGCTACTGCCACTGCTACTGCCACTGTTACTGCTACTGCCAACACGGGAAAATCGAGCCACTGTGCGGGCCCCCCCGCCTGACGAACCCCTGCACCAGTGCAAGAAAATGCTTCGAAAACACACGAAAATCGAGCCACACCATGGGGAGTGCGTTGTCGGCAAAAATCGCGGTTAAGCATGTCGTGATGGACACCCCCACCAAACCCTCCCCTCCCAGTCGAACAAAAAGCCCCATAAAACGCTCCAAAGTACCGGCACTGCCAGTGTTTTTGGCAACAAGAAAACCATTGCGGTCGACCATGTCGTTATTAACACCCCCCCCCCCCCCACCCCCCCATCCCCCCCAACCCAAAACCTCCCCGAAACACTTGAAAGCAGAGCAAAACACGTACTACTACTACTACTACTACTACTACTACTACCTACTACCTACTACCACTACCTACACTACCTACTACCTACTACCTCCTACCTCCTACCTACTACCTACTACCTACTACCTACCTACTACCTACCTACTACTGCTACTACTGCTACTACTGCTACTGCTACTGCTACTACTACTACTACTACTACTACCACTACAACTACAGTTGCCAGCACTGCGAGAGGAAAAAACTACTACTCCTACTCGTACTCCTACTCCTACTCCTACTACTAGTACTACTACTACTACTACTACTACTACTACTACTATTACTACTACTACTACTACTACTACCTCTACTATTACTACTACTTTGGCTCCCGACCTGTCGACCTCGACGAGCCACTCAGGCTGCGACCACCCCTTTGGCGGCTGTGACAAAGTTGGAAGCCTGGCGGGCAGCTGTTCAAAGCCTAGCTCCAGCAAGACGTAGCACAGCCAAGATGCATCTACTGAGGTTTTCACAGTTGCCCTCTGTCGCGACATGGATGGTGCGCAATCCGAGCACGCCGTGCGGGAAGGCTCGCCGCACACTTGCATGTCATACTTTTAGCATACTTTGAATGCCTCCTCTGCCCCTTCAGACGGTGGCAACAACATTGCAAGCTCTGGCCTGAGACTGAGGTCGTATAGCTGCAGATCCTCCCACTCCTATTCCTACTACAACAATAACAACAACAGCCAACAGCCAACAATCGACAACCACCCTCAACAGCAACAACAGCTGCTGCTGCTACTACTACTACTACGACGGTAATGGATATAATTTCTGTAATAACACGAGTAGCAACAAACGATGATAACAGCGAGTGTAAAAACACTAGAACAATATTCTGGTCGCGGCAGCGGCGATGACATCTACTACTGCTGGTGCTACAACAACTAATATTACAACTACTTGCTACTTGGTACCCAGCATGTACTACTTGCTGCTTACCACTTACTGCCGATTACTTCCCACTCACCAATTACCAGTTACTTGCTGCTTGCTGCTAGCTACCTTTTACTTACCAGCTTACAGCTTGCTGCTTGATAGTCACTGCCTCACAAGTTTCACTTACTGCTTTCTACTTGCCTGCTTTCTATTTAGCAACCAAAACGACAACTACATCCACGATTACGACCACAACGACGGCTGCTACAACTACTTCCACTACTTGCACCACTACAACTCGTACTACTGTCACTGCTCCTGCTCCTGCTGCTGCTACTACTAATAATAGTAGTTCTTATAACAATAAGGATTACTACTACCGCAGCTTGCGGCTGCTGCTACTACTGCCCACCGCGGCGACGACTACTGCTGCTGCTACTTACTACCACTTCTACTATTCCTGCTACTACCACCACTACTACTACTGCTACTACTACTACTACTACTATTCCTGCTACTATTCCTGCTACTACTACTACTACTACTACTACTACTATTACTACTACTACCACCACTACCACCACCGCTACCGCTACCTACTACTACTACTACTACTACTACTACTACTACTACTACTACTACTACTACTACTACTACTACTGCCACTGCCACTGTCGAAGTCAGGGACTGGGTTGGCAAGATCTACTACCTTGAAAGTTGGGAGCATGCAAGCTTTGGAAGTGGGAATCCTCCGCAGTGTTGCCGGCGGTGGGTCCATCTTGCGCCACACTCTACTCCCTGTGCTGCTCAACTTCAGCGAACCCATAAGCCAGACCTACGCTTCAAAGCCATGGGCATTCCTTGTTCGGAATTTCAGGCAGTCTCGAACATGCATGCCCAAGCCTCCACAACTGCGGACCTGCTGGAGGCTCCGACGCTCCTGACCTCGCCTCCCAGGCAAAAGGCGCATAGGTCAGCGCGGCTGTCTGGTGACCCTCGCACATGAAATAGCGCCCAGTATTACTGTATGTACATATCATATACTATCAGAATCACTTAGCTAAGCCTTCGAGTCACCCGACAGCCAGCAGCGGCCGGGAACGGGGGCAACGGGAGAGTGGGGGTTCAGGGTTTTGAGAATTGGAGTTGAGGAAGAGCGTGCGTGCAACTTAACTTCGGTATCAGCATCATGTATTGAAGCCCTTCGGTCTGATTTGGGAATCGGCGTTGGACTACGAAGGCTCTTAAAGACTCTTCTGGTATGTCAGGTTTGTAGCTATTTCGCCAACCACAGCGATGACACATAGTACCTCAGAAGCACTCGATATGTTCTTTGTGCTTGTCTTGTTTCTTCGGACACACCTCGGGTCCTCTGTTTGAGTTGCGGTTTGAAATGTACATGCCAGCGTGAAAGGCCATCTTGGATTCTGCATGTCGGTGGGAGTTTTTGCGATGAACGACTCCGGCATAGTATCTCCGCACGTGACAGAGAACCATTGCAAGAAAAGTAGCGACGAGAGCTTTGGCCACATGTGACACACAGCATCATCGCCTTGCAGCGCCGGGCCAGCTGATCAAGCATCAGCAAGCATCTCGAGGAAGTCACATCTTGCATGTTTGCCGGTTTCCGCAGGAAGCAGAAGAGCTCGAAAGGAAAATCGCCGAGATGGAGGCGCTTGCGCTGCATTTTGCTGGCGGCAGCCTAGGTTCACGCGGCCCAAAGCTATCCTGAAGCCTGACATGAACTGGGACCACCATCTGCAAGCAAAGATGGAAGTAATAAGCAGCAGTTCCGAAGCTCTTGTGTCGTAGATTCCTGTGGCGGTAGTAGTAGCAGTAGTAGTAGTAGTAGTAGTAGTAGTAGTAGTAGTAGTAGTAGTATCCTCTACGGTTGCAAACAGCCGCAGCCCGATGCAGGCGAGAGCACTCGCGAATGACGAGCGGCGATGGAGGGAGGTGCCATGCAAAGCGATGCAAAGCGAATCCTGCAGAGCATCTATGCGCAACATAGGGCACGCTCACAAGATCTTAGAAGCGTAGCTAGGACGGGGGAGATGTGTCGCATCATTTTCTTACGATGCCTGGATCTTGAAGTAAATCAGGAGCTCGAAATTAGACACCTAGCATTCCAAACGTCGTCTACACACACTGGTAGCCAGAGTGGTCGGGAGGTTTCAACAGAAGGTGTCCCTTCGATTGCACCAGCCACAACTAAGAACAAGCTTGTTGTATGCTTCCTTGTGAGGCCTTATGCGTAGAAGACTAATATTCCTATACTAATACTCTAGTAATGCTATAATGATACTATAAAAATGCTAGAATACTCCTGCCCCAATTGTCCCCCATCGGACAGGCGCGGCGCACGGGCGTGCCGTGCCCGCCTCCAAGAGCTCCACCAGCCAGAAAGGCCGGACAGATGCCCTTGAGGAGCCCCCAGTTGAATTTAGAGAACTACCCTTCTCTACCCTAAACCCTAAACCCCTAAGATGAGGGTTTGTAGATACAACATCTCCTGTTGCCTTGCGGACAGAAGAAAAAGGGGAGAGCAAGAGAAAGACGCAGAGGGAGCGCAACGGACGGGGACACAGAGGGGCAGAGAGGCAGAGAGAGAGTCGGTTTGGGCCTGCGCCCACGCTGAAGAAGAGCCGGGTTTGGGTACTCTGCGTGCACTTACTTGAGGACATGGACACAGGGGCCGGGGAGCAAGTCGAAGCCATGTTCGTCGCAGAGTTTGAGCAGATGCAGAACTGCATGGTTCTGGAGCTGCTGAAGGGTCTGCAGAAATGTGCAGTCAGGCCGAATCATAAGACGAACCTTCAGCCTTGTGATGCCTATGCCCAATCTGGGAGTTCAGATGTGGCATGGGTGCGGAGCATGTCAAGCACTGTTTGTAGTGAAGGTGGTGATCTCAAGTTCGTCAGAGATGGGTGGTTTGATGCTGAGTCTCTCGATGCTATTCTGGGTGAGTTGCTCTGCCCACATCTCGATGAAGAGCACCTCCAGGTGGCTGAGGTTGGGAATTGGGAGCGGAGGCTGGCGCATTGCCGCGAAGGTTGCTCCGGTTGGTGTGCCTTGACATGATTGTTTGCATGCCGGCTCGTGCTGGCGCAGAGTTTTTCGAAGACATGAGGACCTGCAAATTCGCTTGTTCATGGTGGACCAGCTTACCCGGAAGAGTATCATACATCTTTCGACTTTCCGAGCTTGGTTGGCGTTTTCGTCCGTTGCACCGGATGAGACACACCGTGGAGCTTATCCGTACCATTGTGTTGCCAGGAGGATTTTCTTCGTCTCATCGCTAACTTGCTGGCACCTGATGGCTGGCAAAGAACTGCCAAGTAGCAGAACTACAGTATGGATAGCTTCGAAACTTGTCTCTCCGCAGGGAGTACGATGACACGTGCAGTCTTCATCAGCCTCCTGAGTCTGCCAGTCAGAGCACAAAGGGACTGAGCGGCGAGAGAAAGACAAATGGCATGAACAGGTACTGGTTACTGGTAGTGCGCACGGCCAATAGTTGAGCTTCCTGACCAGGGGCTCGAAACCCTGGATGAGCTGGCTGAGCGGCATCTGGCGCTGCAAGCGCTCCTGAGCTGCTCATCTGCACGCGGGAATACCATCCTCTGCCCCCTTCCCTCACTGGCGGCTGTTCTCTGAGGACGGCAGGCAGCATGCCTCGCAAAACTGGAGCGGCCTGCCTTAGTGCTCGGCCCTTCAGATCGCCAGCAGGACGAGTATGTCGGCGGGTGTCCGTCTGTTGTGTCTGTCTGTCTCGCTCCACTTCGTGCTAGACTACTGGTTTCTGGTGCGGGAAAACGGCCTCTGACGCGTGATTTCCCAGACAGGAGCGCGAGCGCCGGGGTTGCCAGCAGGAGCGCGTCACAGTTGGCCAGGACGGGTCGTCAGGGGACCGAGGGTTTCAGAGAATCCAGAGCCCAAGCACGAACGGTTTCATAAAAGTGGTCTGTAAAATTATCTACAGGTCTTGTGAGTGTTACAGTGTAACCACAAACTAAGCCAGAAGCCCATGGTATCTGAACCTCGATCAACCCCTTCGATCTGAATCTTAGTGAATGCAGGAACGTGAGGCGCCTTCGTTGCCGGATGGTGCACAGATCCTTCTCCCCAAGGCCTCGGGATGGTATTCTGCTCAAACGTCTCGGACTCTTCATATCCAGATCAGAAGTTGGCAGGAAGATCGAGACGAGCAGTTCTACGTCGCCCCCATGAAGGCTGGCAAGAAGGGCAAGATCAAGAGCAAAGGCCGGGAAGCCGGCCTTCCTGAAACGCCGCACTCTTGGCGGACAGACAATTCAGCCGTAGGTAGGCCCGTACTCATGGAAGTTGCACTATAGACCGTCGCCGCTGTGCTGCAAGCAAGTCGAACTGCCCCACGCCCCTTTAGAACAGGCAGGCAATGCACTGCGACCACGTCGTGCCGCATGTCGCTTTTTGTCGACATGCATGTTTGTTGCTTTGTGTTGAACTGAGTGCGTGGTAGCAGGACGCAATACACGGGAGTTGACGAGTCGAGCTTTGAAACTGATATGAACTGCGACGGAGCAGCTATCACTCACACCGAGAACAAGGCAACAAGCAGGACCCTCGTGGGCATTTTCAGGATCCACGTGAAGCCAGCAAACACTTGAGGGGCACCTTGTAACTTGCACGCGCTTGCGAAGCATTTCTGGTGATTCCACGTCAACTCGTTGACCGAAAACACGCACATCTTTCAAGGAGAACTCTTCTGCTGCTCGTTCGGGAAAGAAGCATCCATCGCCTGTCAATGCCAGGTGGCTTTGCAAAGCACAAAGATCATCCACTCCAGTGAGGACATGGTGACTGGCTCAGGGTTCGGCAGACGGTCCGGCACGACATAGACAACTTGATGCCGCTTGCAAAATGCACTCGCCTGAGGCGATCGGTCCAAATCACTCGACGACACTTTAATGATCCTGCCGGGGGTCTTTAGTGCGGTCGGCGAAGCCTATTCGTTTTTGATGCCGTGAGCATTCGGGCTTGGTTTCACTTTCTGCTGCTGCAACAACGATGGGCGACGACGACGACGACCACGACCAAAAACATAAGCAACAACATTCATTCACACGCAGCGGGAGAAGATTCGGCTGGACAACAACAACAACAACAACAACAACAACAACAACAACAACAACAACAACAACAACAACAACAACAACAACAACAACAACAACAACAACAACAACAGCACCAACAGCACCAACAGCACCAACAGCAACAACAGCAACAACAGCAACAACAGCAACAACAGCAACAACAGCAACAACAGCAGCAACAGCAACAGCAACAGCACCAGCACCAGCACCAGCACCTGCAGCAGCAGCAACAGCAACAGCAACAACAGCAACGACAACAACAACAGCAGCAGCAGCAACAGCAACAGCAACAGAAACCACAACCACAACAACAAGAAGAAGAACAACAACAGCAACAACATCAACAAACAAACAAACAAACAAGACAACAACCACAACACGAACTCGCACAGGCTTGACACTAGCTAGACTTGTCTTGGTGCCATGACATGGCCATACCTTCCAGAGCCACCGGCTTAAAGCTTGAGCAACTGTGTTTTGCGCTCCGCATGATGGAATCTCGACTGCATCTTTGAGAACCTGCTGCGTCGCTTGAGTGAAGAAGCGGCTTTGCCGTGACTGCCTCCACAAGGATTTCGCAGCGCTGCTCGCGCTGTGGAAGGACACCGACGTGTAAGCTCCAAGCCATGCCTGAGCGACATTCCCTTGCAGGAGCGGGACTCCGGCTCGCCCCTGTTTCCGAAGGCTAGGCACCGGGTAGCCGTTCGTCGCTGCTTTCGCGCTGCTACGGAGAAGCTGATAGGCACTGTGCAAGCATGAAAAGCATTGCAAGGTCGGTCGGTGTTCATCTGCGGCTGATTTCTTTGTACTTCTGTCACAGAGCTGTTCAGCTTAATGCAATGTGTTTGGATCTCGCGGGCAAGCTGCAAGCCTAAGGCCCTAAGGCTTCCGATTTCTGAACTGCCCCCAAGACATTGCCACGCACACCGATAGAATCCAGAGGAATGGGCTCCAGCGCTGCTGTCGCCCGTGGAAGTAGGGCAGTGGCTTTGAGCTTCCAGGGTTGGCAACGCCCAATCCGGGAGAAGCGACATGCATACATGATGCCAGTGCAGGTGCGTCAATTCGGCAAAGCCTGCCAGGGGCCCAGCAGGTCACAGACTCCGGCGAGGTTACTCCGTTGGACCCTGCACTCCTGTAACCTGAACAAAATCAAAGTGGTATGTATGCACGCGTACTCAATCAATACCCAGATGTGTTACATGAATTTTGTGGCTCCATAGGGCCCGCTTGAAAGACATGTTGCGCAAGGCTACGGGGTTCTGGTTTGAGGTGCTCGCCAAGGTATTCTGGCATTCTGTCTTCCAAGCGGCTTGAAACGCAGCTTCAAAACCTTTTGCACCACGCCCTACTCCCTGTGCTGCTCAACCTCAGCGAACCCATAAGCCAGATCTACGCTTCAAAGCCATGGGCGTGCCTTGTTCATGCAAACTTTCAGGCAGTCTCGAACATGCATACCCAAACCTCCACAACTGCGGACCTGCTCGAGGCGCCAAAGCTCCTGACCTCGCCGCCAGAGCGAAAGGCGCAGAGGTCAGCACGGCTGGCGGGTGACCCATACACATAAAGTAGAGCTCACTCATGGGTTACCATGATGTAGCTACGTACTACCAGAATCACTTAGCTAAGCAACTGAGTCACCCGTCAGTCAGCAGCGGCCGGGAACGGGGGGAAAGGGAGAGTGGGGTTCAGGGTATTCAGAATTGGAACCTAGCAAGGGGCATCGAGAATCATTGTTCCAGAGTCTGGCTGTTTCTGAAAGGGGGCTTAACGTACCCAAGCTGTCGACCGTACATGAGGAGTCTGAAGCCAGGAATTACAGAAGCAGGCTGCGCCTATCATGTTTAGCGGAGCCTAGCTTCGATCGATGTCTGTCAGATTGCAGCAACAGGGCTTGAACCAAACCAGAGCTGTTGCGATACATCTCTTCGCTGCAGCTGTGAAAGGAAGGAACCTTCTGTAAAATACCAAACCGTCAGCCACCATCCCACTTTTATCCGGAGCCTCGACTAACACATAAGAGGCCTTCCATCCTGAAGAGGCTCCAGAGCGGCCCTTGACCCTGAAGCTGACAAAGGGGGGCCCTAACAATGAGAGCCGGGTTATGGGCGTAGTTTATACACATCGTTGTCTGCACACCCTTGAGGTACAGCAGCAGGAATCCTAGCACCAAGCATCCGCAATCCATGCCCCAAAGCCGACATCCAGGAGCCAGCTCCGGTGCCGGCACCGAAGCTTCCTGCAGTCTTCCCTCGGCACTTGCCCCGGAATGGTCTTCAGTTGAGGCTGCAGCTGAAGCTGGAAGTGTGTTGAGTAAGTGGCATACGTCACCGCCTTCACCAAAAACTTGCATGACCAGAAGCTATGGCATGCCTAATTGTTGTTTCGGTTTCTGGAGCCTCAATCTTGATGTGTCAAGGGCCATCACGCCCTCCAGAAGAGTCATCTTGAGGCAGGGGCCTGCCGTGTTGCTGCTTTGAAACATCCGCTCGAATCGGGCGTTCTGTCGTCCGCTCCGCAGCTGGAATTGGCCCAGGAAGCTCCACCGAAAGCCGCTGTTTTGCTGCAGGGTGCAGAAGCAGCTTCTGAGGAGCTTGACGTGGTCGTAGACTTTTGGTCTGTTCGCTTGTGAGCAAATGGTTTTGCCGGCAGAGCAGGCTGTGGCTGCGCAAGCTGCTGGCGAGGATGGGCCGCAAGAAGTTGCTTGTAGTTTTCCGTAAGTGTGCGTCCTTTGCCTATTTGGCCTTGCCACAGGAAGAGGTACCGAACCCCAAGGTCAAGTTGCAAAAGCGTAAGGACGAGGCGCGGTCCTGAGCAAGTTGGAGACTCTAGTGCACGGAATTGCAGCCTGGGAGGAGTACATGGAAATCTTTGTCGGCGGCTTGCCTCTCTCTTCCTGTCCGAGACCGAAAGCAGCCGTGCCTTGCTGCAATGTCATCCTGTGACTTCTGAGGTGAAGCGCAAGTCAGGCGAGAATTTGCAGAGTGTGGCGAGATTACCAGGTGCCTCCCTCATAAGAGCTCATGACCTGGACAGCACTGACTTGCACGCAGTGCCTCTGAGGTTCAGCATGCCCCAGAGAGGAGGGCCGTCATCAAGGCAATGGCGCAGGGACGGTTTGGAAGCCTCATTGCGTCACCACGAAAGGCATCGTCACCATAGTCTTCAAGACGGGGGAAGGCTTGGACTTTGAACTTTGTACCCTTCCATGCCAGCACTAACACAGGTATTGCGTTGCAGCTGCATGCCACGGCACCAGACAGCCCCGAGGCGTGAGGCGTGCTTTGGAGAAGAACGGCATGCAGCATCTGGGTCGGCCATTGAAGGCACCGGCCATGGACCCTTGATCCCGTGCAGCCGCTTCAGTCCAGCTATGTTGCACATGAGATGCCGTAGCATCTCATCTACCTCGGCCACATGCAGGTAGCCTTCCGACATCCTGCAGGCGCATTGAGAAAGCTGCAGACACAAGTCAGGAATGCGCTGCAGAAGTCTCTATGTTTTCGGCACGACAGGCCCGTTGCAAAAGGTGCCGTGGGTGCAGTGCCGGGCTGAGAATGTCGAGATTCCTTCAAGACAAGAGGCATTTTGATTCTTTAGCTGACAGCAATGCGGGGGCTGCGAGCGGCCGGCAATGGATGACACTGAGAGATCTGTGCCAGCAAACCTTAGCGCCTTAGCTCTCAAGCGGCATCACGTTACTATGGTTTGGGCCACTCCGCAGCACTGTTGACCCCTGTGGCATGCTACATGCTGCATTAAAAAACTTCGGCTGATGCTACCTGTCATGCCAACGAACGACAGCTTTGCTCTGCGTATGCGGCAGGCCCATCATCAAACTTGCAGCAGATGTGTGCAGATCTTGCTGAGGCCTCAGCATTGCGTCAGCCCGCTGGGCCTGCAACTGGTGCGATGCAAAGGCAGTCTTCAATCCGTTGAATGTGCAGGCTGCTTCTGGATCACTTTCCCAAGCCGGAGGCAGGGATTATTTAGGGGCTGCGCCCAGGTGCGGGCAGCGCGAGCTGTTGTCAGAAACCCGCGGTATATAGATAAGTGCAACGTAGGCCCGAAGTGCGCAACTTGTGGGTGATCGTAGGCTCTCAGCCCCCGTCGGCCCTGCATGTAGCCCGCACCCCCCGTCCGCTGATGCTCATGATGCGCGCCCTTTGGCGGCTTCCGCAACCCATTCAAAAACTTGGGAGTTATGACTTCGCGCCCACGTCGCGCCGCCGGCGCCGGTTGCGGGCGCCCGAGGGCTCATGATGCTCGCCGGCTCGCCTCCTGGGGTCGTCCACGGCGGCCCCGAAACCCGCCACACCGCGGGGAATGGCTGCAAAACGCGTGCGCATTCCGAGACGCCTTCGGGCCAGGCCCCGCGCGGCCCGAGGGAGAAACGAGGGTCCGATGATGCGGGGTCCGGGGCGGGTCGGCGGCACTGTCGGTCGTGGCTTCTGCTTCGCAGACGAAGCTCATTCGTCTGAGCCATAGCTCAGTCCATACAGGGCAGCGAAGCGCTGCCCGATTGAAGGGCTGCGCCCGGTGCCGCCGACCCCGCCAGCTGGGGCTCGGCGCAGGTAGGCGGCAGGAAGTCCCAGGGGCGTGTCGCGCGCGCGGGAAGGGGGGGCGGTGAGAGCCAAACCTTGCGGCGGGGGAAGGGGGGGAGGCGCAACGAAGAGGGGTGGCGTCGCGAGCGTGTCCGGCGTGGGGACCCGCTGTTGGAGGGAGAGGGGTGGCAACGAGGGAAGGCGTGGGCGTGTCCGGACACATAGCAACCCGCGGGATGGAGGGGTGCCGGGCATGGGCAGGCATGCCTGGTGGCAGCACCGCAAAGAGCAGCGGCGTGGGCGTGTCCGGGTGGGGGTGCAGAGCCAGCAGGGGAAGGGTGCGGGTGCAGAGCCAAAAGTTTGGGGAGGGGCGGCGTCGCGCGTGGGGCGGGTGGTCGTGCTGGAGCAGCAAAAGAATAGATAGAATCAAATAGATAGTAGAATCGAGTAGAAAGAGAGGGGGGGGGTGCAGAGCCGGGGGAGGGGGGCGGGTGCAGAGCCAAACCTTGGGGGGGGCGGAGCCAAACCTTGAGAAGAAGAAGAGGTGCCGAAAGGGCGGCGTCGCGCGTGGCAGCGGCGTGGGCGTGTCCGGTTGGGGGTGCAGAGCCAGGGGGGGGGGCGGGTGCAGAGCCAAAGCTTGGGGAAGGGCGGCGTCGCGCGTGGGGCGGGTGGTCGTGCTGGGAGGGGGGCGGGTGCAGAGAACCTTGCAGGAGGGCGGAGTCCAACCTTGAAGGGGAAGAGGCGCCGAAAGGGCGGCGTCGCGCGTGGGGCGGCCGGGAGGGGAGGGCCGGTGAGCCAGGAGGGGGGGCGGGTGCAGAGCCAAAGCTTGGGGAGGGGCGGCGTCGCGCGTGGGGCGGGTGGTCGTGCTAAATAGAATCGAGTAGAAAGAGAAGGGGGGGGGTGCAGAGCCGGGGGAGAGGGGCGGGTGCAGAGCCAAACCTTGGGGGGGGTAGCAAGAGAGGGGGGCGAGTGCAGAGCCAAACCTTGGGGTAGAAAGAGAGGGGGGAGGGGGCGGGTGCAGAGCCAAACCTTGGGGGGGGGCAAAGCCCAACCTTGAGAAGGGGAAGAGGCGCCGAAAGGGGGGGGTGCAGAGCCAAACCTTGCGGGGGGGCGGAGCCCAACCTTGAGAAGGGAAGAAGCGCCGAAAGGGCAGCGTCGCGCGTGGGCGGGGGGGCCGGTTCAAAGCCAAACCTTGGGGGGAGCCAAAGCTTGGGGTAGAATAGAAATCAAATAGAATCGATGCAGAGCCAAACCTTGGGCAGCGGCGTGGGCGTGTCCGGGTGGGGGTGCAGAGCCAGGGGGCGGGTGCACCAAAGCTTGGGGAAGGGCGGCGTCGCGCGTGGGGCGGGTGGTCGTGCTGGAGCAGCAATAGAATAGAAATGAATCGAGTAGAAAGAGAGGGGGGGGTCAGAGGCCGGGTGCAGAGCCGGACCTTGCAGGAGGGCGGAGTCCAACCTTGAAGGGGAAGAGGCGCCGAAAGGGCTTCGTCGCGCTTGGGGCGGCCGGGAGGGGAGGGCCGGTGAGCCAGGAGGGGGGGGTGGGTGCAGAGCCAAAGCTTGGGGAGGCGTGGGGCGGGTGGGTAGGGGTGCAGAGCCAAACCTTGGGGGGGGGGGGCGGAGCCCAACCTTGAGAAGGGGAAGAGGCGCCGAAAGGGGGGGGTGCAGAGCCGGGGGAGGGGGGCGGGTGCAGAGCCAAACCTTGCGGGGGGCGGAGCCCAACCTTGAGAAGGGGAAGAAGCGCCGAAAGGGCAGCGTCGCGCAAGAGCCAAAGCTTGGGGAGGGGCGGCGTCGCGCGTGGGGCGGGTGGTCGTGCTGGAGCAGCAATAGAATAGAAATCAAATAGAATCGAGTAGAAAGAGAGGGGGGGGGTCAGAGGCAGGGGGAGGGGGGCGGGTGCAGAGCCGGACCTTGGGGGGGGCGGAGTCCAACCTTGGGCGGAAAGGGTGGCGTCGCGCGTGGGGCGGCCGGGAGGGGAGGGCCGGTGAGCCAGGAGGGGGGAGCCAAAGCTTCGGGAGGGGCGGCGTCGCGCGTGGGGCGGGTGGTCGTGCTGGCGCAGCATTAGAAAAAAGAATAGAAAATCAAATAGAATCGAGTAGAAAGAGAAGGGGGGGGGTGCAGAGGCGCGGGTGCAGAGCCAAACCTTGGGGGGGGTAGCTAGAGAGGGGGGCGAGTGCAGAGCGAAACAGAGAGGGGGGAGGGTGCAGAGCGTGGGGAGGGGGGCGGGTGGAGAGGCAAACCTTTGGGGGGGGCGGAGCCCAACCTTGAGAAGGGGAAGAGGCGCCGAAAGGGGGGGGTGCAGAGCCGGGGGAGGGGGGCGGGTGCAGAGCCAAACCTTGGGGGGGGGGGCGAAGCCCAACCTTGAGAAGAAGCGCCGAAAGGGCAGCGTCGCGCGTGGGGGGGGGGGGGCCGGTTCAAAGCCAAACCTTGGAGGGGGGGGCGGAGCCAAAGGCAAGGAGCCCCTCCTGGCGCCGAGAAGGGCGAACCGGCGAGTGCTTGAGGGCTTCCACGGGCGTTCAGCTTGCTGTTCCTGTCAGGTTCGGAACAGTCGAGTGTGGGAAATGCGCCAGCGTGGTGCTTCGGCATAGGCATGTGGCTTCTTGTCATCACCAAAAAGCGATCGTCTCGCCAGCATCCGGAGGTGCTTCAGCTGACCGCATGCTTGGCCTCTTTGGGCCAGAATCTGAGCGTTGTTGGACCCTTCAGCACACAAAACTTGATGAAGTCCTCACTCCTATGAGATCCGCAACCCAACCTTGTGCTGATGGCGACGGCTCAAGCTTGCATCTTGCGATACAGCCAGCCTGGCCCGGCACCGGATCCCATGTTTTTCATGACTGATTAATGCCATAGTCATAGTACCTAGTGACTGCCATGGGCGTTGCTAGAAGATTGCGGGGCAAGCAGAGCCCGCATGCGCAGGAGCGACGCTTGCGGGGCAAGCAGCGGCCGCACGCAGCGCAAGCCGAACCCCAAGCTGCACCAACAGATCCGGCAGAACAAGCGAAAGTAGCAGCGCAACTTGCACATGAAGTACTTCCATTGCCGACAGATATCTTCAGCCGCGTGTGCAACGCTAAGAGAAAAGTGCAACACGAGATCAGAGAGGAACCCGCAACGAAGAAAACCAAGATAGATTTTGTGAAGCAGGAGCCGGAGACTTCGGAGTGCTTCCAGCCCCTGCACCGGGGCATTCCAAGCTTATCAGTGCCAAGTCTGCGGACCAATACCAGGGCGCGGCGTCGATTGACCTTAACATGTAAAGCCAAGAAGGAAATGCAACACGAGATCAAAGACGAACCCGCAACGGAAACAGCCAAGTTGGACTTTGTCAAGGAGGAGCCGGAGACTTCGGAATGCTTGCAACCCCTTCACCGGAGCATTGCAAGCCTGCAGTCCACTGCTAGTGAGCCAGCCAAGCTACTTGGGAGACGATTGACCTTCATCGCTTGCAAAGCCAAGAGAAAAGTGAAGCACGAGATCAAAGAGGAACCGGCGGCGAAGAAAGCCAAGATAGGTTTTGTGAAGCGGGAGCGGGAGACTTCGGAGTGCTTCCAGCCCCTTCACCGGAGCATTGCAAGCCCATTGGTGTCAATTCTGCGGACCAATACTAGGGAGCCAGCCAAGCAACTTGGGAGACGGTTGACCTTCGCGCCGGGTGTGGACCACTACCGGATTGAATGCTACAAGCATGAGGACCTGTGGCGCCGCTCGCATTTCGCGCAGAGCTAAGACCTCGGTATTTGCTACGGCGGAGCCGGCCAAGCCAGGTTGGACACCCTCGAGGCGGAAATCGAGGTGGCTTTAAAGACATCGAGGCCCTGCTTTCCATCTTCTGGATGCTCTACCTCGCCGGCGCTCGCGACTGCGGCGTCCCAGTTGGTAATTCGGCGACATGCGAAAAGGGCAAAAGAAGCCGAGGAGCGAACCAAAGATCCTGCGTGCCGCAGCATTTTTCAGTGATAACAAGATGCTGCATGCCATACTTCACGTTCGTTCGCGACCTCGGTGACTCCTTGGCATTTTACGAGGCTTTGGGCCTCCGGCGATCAACGTCCAAACGGCAGTGGCACTACCTTCGCGAGGGCAAGCTACGCGACAAGGAAAAAATTGCTTTGGAGCTGGCGTCCGCGAAGGATCCGAAGAAGCCACTGCAGCAAGGAGGTATTTCGTTATGCACTGACGAAGGCGCCGTTTGCGCGAAGTCCCGGAGGCTTTGATCGTCCCCGTGCCATCGCATGCGGGCAGGACATGGCAGCAATAGCATCTCAGGACATTCAACCCACCTTTTCGCCCCATTCCCAGAGCGAGGCGCAAGATCGCATCTGCTGGATGGCTAGAATGCTGGCCAACGCAAAACAAAGATGGGCTGCTCGTTTGGAGTCATTTAGACGTGATGTTTGATCGCGGTATGCTGCAGACCTTTCAGAATTCAAGTTGCAACCGTGCTTCGCGGCCATATGAAAACGCATCAGAATCTCATAACAAACACTCTCAACCCTCGACTTCCGATCTCGGTCAAGGCCGACAGCGAAGCAGCTCCGAGATTTTGCGACGTTGCAGGCAGCCCAACTTTTGGAGAGTTTAGTTTGGCTTGGGGTTGTGGCTTAGGATAAAACGGGGTAAAAAAAGTTGTATAGAGGTCGGGAAACCCAGGGTTTTGGCTCTGGGGTTCTGCTTGAGGGTATGGTCTGCAGGAAAGCGGACCTTCTAAACCGGAGAAGCTGTGGAATACGCGAGGAACCAACGAACAAAAAATCATCAACATCACCGTGTCTTCCAGCTATTCTTGGCCATGGCTGACTCACGTACTCTAAGCGCAAGCCAGAATGGCGACAAAATAATTGTTTGAGGCTACTTGTATCGTATTTGTCATTATCTCCACCCCCCCCCCTTACACCCCAGGCCCCGCACCGAGCAAGAACAGTTTCAAGGAGAAGTCGTTGGTAGGGCGGGGGTGGGCGCCAGCTACTACTACTACTACTACTACTCCTACTACTACTACTGCTACTACTACTACCACTACCACTACCACTACTACTACTACTACTACTACTACTACTACTACTACTACTACTACTACTACTACTACGACTACTACTACTACTACTACTACTACTACTACTACTACTACTACTACTACTACTACTACTACTACTGCTACTATACTCCTACTGCTCCTTCCAACAGCTTGGAGCAATAAGCTACATGGAGGCACAAACAATCAGCCCAAGAGAGTGCTCTGGAAATTTCAGTGGCACAACCCATCTTCTGTAAAGGCTTGCATTCCCTGATGCATGTTACAGTTGCAGAAGTTCGCTGTCTCCGATCTAAACCGCAGACAGGCAACCTTGGAGCGTGAGCGTCAGCAGTTCCGCGCAGTGCAAGAAGCGCAAGCTGCAGCAGGTTCACTGTGGGCAGGGATTGGAATAGAGGCAGAGAGGGGCGTGTGACCACTGCGGGCAGGTGCTGATCTCCGCCAACTGGAGGTGCGACTTTGCTTCAATCACGGCGCGAACAGCATAGGTCACAGGAGATTTAACCAAGGAAGCTCGTAGTTTCATTTTGTCAAGAGAACTCTCGCTTGGTGCTAGCCAACTGCTTTGATGTACAGCAGAAGGCTGGCGTCGTGCAAGAGTTGGTTAGGATTCGCTACAAAGCAGCAGCGCACAGATCTTTCCGAAAAACTACTCCTCTCTTGATGGAGGTTCGTGAGCTTGAGCTGGAACGAGCGGCTTTTCTCGCGGTCCAGGCACAGTCCCAGGCACGCTGCAAGAAGGAAGCGCCGGTTGTTGTCGCTTGTTGATTCTTTACTCGGCCTGCAAGGAAGAGCGCAAGGCCAGGATGGGTCGCACTAGTCACTAGCCAGTTTGAGGACCGAGTGCTCTCCGATTTTTAGCAGGGAGTAGTCCTGAGCATGATGCGAGTGGATGCTGTTGCTCCTTTTCGCCTGGAAGGATCAAAAATCGTGAGCCATTGAGTCGGTGGCCTGCATCACCGCGAGCAGTGGCGGCAGGAAGCGCTGCCTTGTCTCAAGTTTGCTCTTAGGCTCGCACGACGAGTTGCATCTCCAAAGCTGGCACAGGCGCCGGCGCTCGATATCAGACAGAAGTACCTGCCTTGGTGCCACATGTCCTGCGAAGCTGCGACAAGAGAGGCGTGCATGAAAGCACTTGAAGTAATGAGTGGTAGAATGGCCTTTGCATTTTCGGTCGCGGCAGAGATGACCGCCAGACAGTGCCAGGACCAGCCTGTACTGGAGAAGACCGACATCCAGACAAAGGTGCCGTGGCTGGCATGGTGAGTTTTGCTGCGCTTGGTTGACACAGTCGATTTCGCAACACAGTTCCGATCGGCTGTACAGCCCTGGCGGGTGATCTTCCGACCCGCTGGCGGCATGTCAATGTCTATCCTGTTTACAGCGGTTGCTGTGTGGCTGTGCCCCCATCCTGTTTACAACGCTTGCAATGTGGCTTTGCATCTATCTTATTCACAGCAGTTGCTGAGTACCTTTACCCCATCCTGTTTACAGCACGACATTTGCCAACACAAGAGCCTGCGAACCATCACCGCGGCATTTGCCCACACAACAGCCTTACCACAAGCACCCGCGAACCGTCACCGCGGCATTTGCCAAGACAAAAGCCTTACCCTTAAGCACCTGCGAACAATCACCGCGGCATTTGCCAAGACAAAACCCTAAAACAAGCATCTGCTAACCATGACCAGTGCATTTGCCAAAACAGAACCCTCACCACAAGCACCCGCGAACTATCACTGCAGCATTTGCCAAGACAAAAACCTTATACCACAAGCATTCGCGAACCATCAGCGCGGCGTTTGCCAAGGCAAAAGCCTTTCCGCAAGCATCCGCTAACCATCACCGCGGCATTTTCCAAGACCAAGACCTTACCACGAGCACCCGCGAACACTCACCACGGAATTCGCCAAGACGAAACCTTACGACAAGCACCTGAGAACCATCACCGCCGCATTTGCCAAGACAAGAGCCTTACCACCGACGGCTCAAGCTTGCATCTTGCGATACAGCCAGCCTGGCCCGGCACCGGATCCCATGTTTTTCATGACTGATTAATGCCATAGTCAAAGTACCTAGTGACTGCCATGGGCGTTGCTAGAAGATTGCGGGGCAAGCAGAGCCCGCATGCGCAGGAGCGACGCTTGCGGGGCAAGCAGCGGCCGCACGCAGCGCAAGCCGAACCCCAAGCTGCACCAACAGATCCGGCAGAACAAGCGAAAGTAGCAGCGCAACTTGCACATGAAGTACTTCCATTGCCGACAGATATCTTCAGCCGCGTGTGCAACGCTAAGAGAAAAGTGCAACACGAGATCAGAGAGGAACCCGCAACGAAGAAAACCAAGATAGATTTTGTGAAGCAGGAGCCGGAGACTTCGGAGTGCTTCCAGCCCCTGCACCGGGGCATTCCAAGCTTATCAGTGCCAAGTCTGCGGACCAATACCAGGGCGCGGCGTCGATTGACCTTAACATGTAAAGCCAAGAAGGAAATGCAACACGAGATCAAAGACGAACCCGCAACGGAAACAGCCAAGTTGGACTTTGTCAAGGAGGAGCCGGAGACTTCGGAATGCTTGCAACCCCTTCACCGGAGCATTGCAAGCCTGCAGTCCACTGCTAGTGAGCCAGCCAAGCTACTTGGGAGACGATTGACCTTCATCGCTTGCAAAGCCAAGAGAAAAGTGAAGCACGAGATCAAAGAGGAACCGGCGGCGAAGAAAGCCAAGATAGGTTTTGTGAAGCGGGAGCGGGAGACTTCGGAGTGCTTCCAGCCCCTTCACCGGAGCATTGCAAGCCCATTGGTGTCAATTCTGCGGACCAATACTAGGGAGCCAGCCAAGCAACTTGGGAGACGGTTGACCTTCGCGCCGGGTGTGGACCACTACCGGATTGAATGCTACAAGCATGAGGACCTGTGGCGCCGCTCGCATTTCGCGCAGAGCTAAGACCTCGGTATTTGCTACGGCGGAGCCGGCCAAGCCAGGTTGGACACCCTCGAGGCGGAAATCGAGGTGGCTTTAAAGACATCGAGGCCCTGCTTTCCATCTTCTGGATGCTCTACCTCGCCGGCGCTCGCGACTGCGGCGTCCCAGTTGGTAATTCGGCGACATGCGAAAAGGGCAAAAGAAGCCGAGGAGCGAACCAAAGATCCTGCGTGCCGCAGCATTTTTCAGTGATAACAAGATGCTGCATGCCATACTTCACGTTCGTTCGCGACCTCGGTGACTCCTTGGCATTTTACGAGGCTTTGGGCCTCCGGCGATCAACGTCCAAACGGCAGTGGCACTACCTTCGCGAGGGCAAGCTACGCGACAAGGAAAAAGTTGCTTTGGAGCTGGCGTCCGCCAAGGATCCGGAGAAGCCACTGCAGCAAGAAGGTATTTCGTTATGCACTGACGAAGGCGCCGTTTGCGCGAAGTCCCGGAGGCTTTGATCGTCCCCGTGCCATCGCATGCGGGCAGGACATGGCAGCAATAGCATCTCAGGACATTCAACCCACCTTTTCGCCCCATTCCCAGAGCGAGGCGCAAGATCGCATCTGCTGGATGGCTAGAATGCTGGCCAACGCAAAACAAAGATGGACTGCTCGTTTGGAGTCATGTAGACGTGATGTTTGATGTGGTAGTAGCAGTAGTAGCAGTAGCAGCAGTAATAGCAGCAGCAGCAGTAGCAGTAGCATTAGTCGTAGTAGAAG